CAGAAGGAAATATAAATGGCAGGTTTTTAAATATAACACCAATGGCATGATCCATGAAAAAAAATTATTGACAATCTGGACTTAAGCCATGAGCCAGGAGAAAACATTTCAAGTGCATATCTCATAAAAGGCCACTATCCAAAATATATTTTTAAAAAACTCTTAAAACTCCACAATAAAAAGGACAAATAATTTAAAAATAGAAATAGATACAAACATACAGTGCATAAAAGAAGAGATTCAAATGGCACATAAGACTATGGAAAGGTGCTGAACATTGTTTGTCATTAGAGAATTGCAAGTTAAAACAAGGAGATACCACTACACTCTCATTGAAATAGTTAAAATCCAAATGCAAATGCTAAAACATCAAATGTTGATGAGTATGTAGAACAACAGTAATTGCTTGTAGAAATGCAAAATGGTACAGCCACTTCAAGAACAGTTTGGCAGTTTCTTTCAAAACTAAATATACTCTTTACAGATGATCCAGCAATTACATCCCTTTCTCTTTACCCAAAATGAGTTGAAAATTGATGTTCAGACACACAGATATCTATTACAATTTTATTCACAGTTGTTCAGATTTAGTAGCAACCTACATATCTCTTAATAGAAGAATGAAGAAACAAACTATAATATATTCAGACAATGGAGTATTATTTAATGCTAAGGAGAAATTAACTGTCAATGCTAGAAAGACATGGTGGTAACTTAAATGTATTTTACTGAGTGAGATAAGTCAGTCTTAAGGCACATGGTATATGACTCAACTATATGACATTTTAGAAAAGGCAAAACTATGGAGACAGTAAAAAGATCATTGTTTGTCAGGGGCTTGAGTCTGGGAGAAGAATGAGGATGCGCAGGATGGATTTTTAGGGCAGTGAACTACTGTGGATGAGATACTCTTATGGTGGAAACTTGACATTATGCATCCTGAATCAATATGCACAAAACAAAAGCAAAAAAAAAATACAGAGAGAATTTAAGGATTATGAAATATATTTGAGGACTTCAATGCACCCCTCTCAAAAACTCAAAGAACTACCAGACAGAAAATAAGCAAAGATATCTGAAATATCTGATATCTGGAATATCTGAGCAACACAATCAACTAAAAGTATGCAACTGAGAAAAACTTCAGTCCACTCAAAAATAGCACAATACACACTTTTTATCAAGCAATCAAGGAGTTTTCACCTACATCAAACTCCAAGGCCATAAGACAAACATCAACAATTTTAAAATGATTGAAATCATACAGAACATGTTCTCTGAACATAATGGAATCAAATAGAACATTAATAGGAAAACCTCTAAATGTGGAAATTTGATAACATAGTTCTAAATAATCCACAGGTCAAAAAATAAGTCTCAGAAGTATTTAAAATATATACAGAACCTAAAAAAATATACAGACAGAAATTACAAAATTTGTAGGATATAGTCAGAACATTATCGGCAGGGAAATTAATCGTATGAATGACTTGCATTAGAACAAGTAAGTTCTCATATTAATGACCTAAGTTCCTACACCTCAAGAAAAGAGTGAAAAAGAAAAATAAATCCAAAACAAGCAGCAGGATGCAAACAATAAGTTTAAGAGCATAAATCAATGAAATTGAGCAAGAGAAAATTAATGAAAAAACTGATTCTCAAAAAAAAATCAATATACAAAATAAACCTCCAGCAAGATAGACCTACAAAAAAGACAAAACTAATATAAAGTGTGAAACAGAGGATATATTGCAGATCCCACAGCCATTACAAGGACAAAAAGGAACAACTTTATGATGGTAAATTCTATAAATTAGGATTCGGGGTCCAATTTCTCAAAACCACAGACTCACCCAAGATAAAGGAATAATATGAATAAGCTTATTTCCATCAAGATCATGATTTAAAAGATTCCAACAAAGTATCTACACTTTTGGTCCAATACTGGGTACTAAATAGAACAGCCAAATCCAATTTGGAAGGTTGAGATGGATTTCTTGACAGGTCAGGCTACACCAGTAATGGCTGAAGAGGTTGCCCTGAGATCAGAATGGGCATCTGGTATTAGCGGAAGAGAACTTCATGGAAGGAAAAGGTAACATTCCTTAAATCCAAGGAGGGAATTAATTTAGAGTCAAATTTCTTTTCATTCCCTGGACAATTGCTCTGGGGAAGAGCTGAGTCAACAATGTCTCTTTCCTTGTTTTGCCAGGATTCTTCTCTGCCAGTTCTCCCCTCCCACCTGGCAACTCAGCTGTCCTTCCAGACAGTTAACCATGGAAAGATTGGAAAGCACCCTGTGATTTGTTGCTACAAAAACAACACTTAAAAACAAATAAAAACCTCCCAGGAAACAATAAGTGGACTCAACAAGGTCACAGGATGTGGGATCAGCAATCACATCTCTATTTATTAATAGTGAAGGTGTGGACATAGAAATTTAACGAAAGGAGTACGTACTGCATGACTTCACTTATATAACATGTCAAGTTGTCAACATTTTGGAAATAAAGAACAGATTATCAGTTTCCAAGTGTTGGGGCTGGGGAAATAAAGGAGGGGAGTGGGTTATAAAAGGGCAACTTAGGATTCTCTTGGCATTGGAACTATTCATATTTTAAATGTTATGGTGAATATATGAATCTACACAAGAGATAAAATATATAGAATTAATACATACACAGAATGAATCAAGTAAAACTGAGGAAATCAATGAATTGGTAGGTTGTGTCAATGTTAATATCCTGACTGTGATACTAAGCTATAGTTTTGCAAAATACTACCATTGCAGGAAACCGCATGATGTGTGATATGAATCTCTGTACACTAATTCTCAGATCTGCATGTAAATTGCAATTATTCCAGTTAAAATGTTAATTATGCTACACTCCCACACTCCATTATTCACAATTCTGTAATTCAGAAGTTTTTAAAAAATGAAAGATTTTCATTATTTATTATTTACACTTGATATGACTTGAATTCATTTGGCTGAACTAAAGAAAAAATATTTTCAGTTTTTCTTTATCCCTCATGTTTATATTATGTTAATCTTACACAGTTCTGAAAAGTTCATAATTCTGAAATAAAACTTTCCTTGAAATTTTAAATGTGAGGCACAGGCATGTATGACTTTTTTTAACTACTGAAATCTCCTCGGCTCAAATCAATAACTGTTTTATATAGGAGAGTTTTGCCATTGACCAGAATTAGGAGACCATAAGGTCATGCATTTTATGTCCAAGTTATAAAAGAACTGAAAAAGTTCCAAACTTCATCATAATTTTAAGTAGCAATAAAGATCTGTATTAATTCCTCTGTATTCATTGGTATACTTGTTTATTCATTCAACAGTTATTGAATGGTGATTGTACTGAATGACAAGCTATGTTCTTTGGTGAGCATTTAATTATTTCATCTTCTCAGCAGCACTCAACTGTTCAGTGGCACTGTGATCATTGCTCTTAAAGCAATATTTTCTTGATTCTTTACAGAGATCTACTCTATACCTTTTTTTTAATGTAGCAGACTAGCAGTAAATGCTAGTGTCATAACTGCTCAGTATCATGCTATGTAATGCAATGCAAATGAAATTAAAGTCTAGGGATTCATTTCTCCTCATCCTCCCACCATATCTTTTTGGAATCATTTTCCTTGGTGTTTGTTTTGCTGCCCAGTCTTTATTGTGTGGTGTACGTTAATTTACTTGAGAAATGGAGGAAGGCTAAATTTTTCCACAATAGCAAAAATAAGGACACAGAACTGTGGAGTGAGGTGGGAGGGGAAAGTGAGCAAAAAGATCCTTAAAGGGTGTGGTGGTTGAAACAGATGTGGAAAGGGCCCTTGTAGACTGGAGCACTGCAGGGACAGCTGCCTTTCTGGTAGGGTTTTCTGAAGATTTCCTGCAGTTCTTCAATTTCCCAGAAGAAAGTACAGGACCTGTAGTGTTTATCAGTAGATCTGCAAACAAGTGGGTAGGAAGTATTGGGGGTGGGTTTTTTTTGCTTTGGACTAGGAGTTTCACCCAGGTTTTGCACTCCACCACCGAGTTAAATCTCCAGCCCTATTTTGGTAGATTTTTTAAAAAATGTATATATTTGTTATTGCAGCTGTTTTGGAATGGTGATGTGATACTATTAGCTTTAAAGCCAAAGGGGGGAAAAATCTCAAACTTATTTGGGTCTTCAAAGATTTGCTATTAAAATTAAAGTCTATAAAAATTTCAAAATATGAATATTATTTACAATAGATTTTCAACCCATAAATTTTAGAGTAGCCAATAATTTTTTTCCAGGCCCTTCCTCACTCGACTAATGAAAGTTACATTTGGTTGAATGAACCCTGAATGTATAAATAAAATCACTGCTTTGAGAAGTTCTAATAAACATTTACAGGAAATGGCTGGAAGTGGGATATTTGGAGTGAAGGTCTCTAGACATTACTGTAGCTTGGACTTGGTTTGTACCCCAAAGGTAAAAGCTTGGTCCCCAGCACAGTGCTAGTGGGAGATAGTTGAACCGTTAAGAGGTGGGGCCTACTGGGAGGTCATCAGGACATTGGGGATTATAAAATGTAATTCTGGCCCCTTCTTCTTTTTCTCTTTTACTTTATGGCCAAGATGTAAGTGATTTTTACTTCTGCCATGCTGTGCTGTCTCACCAGAAGCCCAGAGCAATGGGACCAACTAATCAAGAACTGAAACTTCCTCTTTCTAAGTTCATTTATCAAGCATTTACCAGATTGATAGAAAGCTGATTACCATAATTTAGTCAGGAATTTTCTGGGTTCTAGCACAGAGGCTCCCAGGACTATCATTCTCATTTCTCTTTTAAAGAGAGTTGAAATTCTAAAGTCAGTTTTCTTCAAAAATCAAACATGAAAACATTAAAACTGAAAGAGAGAGACCCAGTAATAAATCACTTGGGTATTTATGTCCACACTAAGCACAGTAGATTAACATTTATAATTTTACAAAAGATGTGATTATTTTCTAGACTTACTTTGCAGCATAAAAGAAAAGCTGTTGAATGTTGGGTGCTGAGTCTCATTCTGAGGGAGCATAACTTTTCCTTCATAAAGGAAAACGTGGGGTGAGCTCTTCTCAAACACCATCCTAGAGAAACACTGTAAAAAAAAAGGTATTTTTGGAAGTATGACAAGAAATGAAGCTGAATAGTACATGAGGTCAGTTATTTGCCTTGTGAAATGTGACATGCTAATAATACTGAAAATATATAAGTAAAAAAAATATTTGATAGAATTACAAAAAATAGATAAAGCTCAGTTTCCTGGAATGGCCTCTGGGTTCTCACTGTCCATCCCTTCCACCCATGCTAACTACATGTATGTGGTTAATGGTTCACAAGACAGTTCATGGAGTTGCCTTACTTTTCTATGCAAGAAAGCAAAAGCTCCTGAACAAAGTGGAAAATGGTGGAGAGACCAATAAATAGCCAATATATATATATATATATATATATATATATATATATATATATATATATATATATATATATATATCTTTCTTGTGACATCCTTATAAAGACAATTCAGAAGAATTGTAGATATAAGTTCAAAAGACAATAAAACTTGTAGATATATCAGCACTAAAAATAACAAAATCATGGCATTTGCAGGGAAATGGATGGCATTAGAACAGATTATGCTAAGTGAAGCTAGCCAATTCCTAAAAAACAAATGCAGAATGTTTTCTTTGATATAAGGAGGGCAACTCAAAACAGAGCAGGGAGGAAGAGCATGAGAAGAAGATTACCATTAAACAGGGACAAGAGCTGGGAGGGAAAGGGAGAGAAAAGGGGAATTGCATGGAAATAGAAGGAGACCCTCATTGTCATACAAAATTACATATAAGAAGATGTGAGGGGAAAGGGAAAAAATAGAGAAATGAGTTACAGTACATGGGGTAGAGTGAGGTGATGGGAGGGGAGGGGAGGGGGATAGGAAGGGGATAGGAAAGGCAGCAAAACACAACAGACACTAGTATGGCAGTATGTACAATCTGTACATGTGGTAAAAATGGGAGTTCATAACCCACTTGAATCAAATGTATGAAATATGATATGTCAAGAGCATTAATGTTTTGAACAACCAATAAAAAAAAGAAAAGAAAAAAAATAATGGCTTATGAAAATGGAACTTAAAACCAAACAGGAGTAGTAGATATTTTCATATCAAACAAAACAGACATCAAACCAAAATTGATTAGAAGAGAGGAAGTAAGTGACTACATGTTGGTAAAGAGAACAACCCAAAAAGAAGATATAACTATTATAAATATTTATTATGGCTTAAACATTGGTGCACCCAGTTTCATGAAACAAAACTACTTGACATAAAGGAATAGATAGACCCATATAAAATAATAATGGGTAACTTCAGTACAACTATCTTACTAATACATCATCTAAACATAAAATCAACAAAGTCACTACAGAGAAAAATGGACTCAACATACATGATATATTTTGGATATGAGGTATCCCCCCAAAGCTCCAGCTAATACAGAAATATTCAGAGGTAAAATGACTACATTATGAGAATTATAATATAATTTGTCCATCTTAGTTTGAATAGACTGACTGGTAAATGTAGGCATGTGGATTTGGCTGGAAGAGGTGCCCTGAAAGGATTAATCTTGCCTGTGACACCCTCCCTACCACTTCCTGACTCCACCATGATCTGAGCAAGTTTCTTCCTCTTTGACCTTCCCACATGATTTTGAACCAGAGAAATGCACTTGGCCATCTATAGAATAAAACCTCTGAAAACATGTACCCCAAATACACTAAGTTGTTCTAATCAGGTATTTGGATCACAGTGATGCAAAAGCTGACTAAAACAGAAATTGGTGACAAGTGGGGGTCACTGCTGTGACCAACATGACCATGTGCTCAAAAAGCCTTTAGAGCTAGCTCACAGGAGGAATTATGAAATGTTTAGAGATGCAAAGTAGAAAAGTCTTAGAACATTTTAACCAGATCTTAATGTATGATTCTTGTAGAAGCTCAGAAGACCAGAATGCAATTGGAATGTGAAAGATTCTCATGAGGTTTCAGAGGTAATTGAAGACTCTATTGGGAATTGGACTAGAGGCCACTTGTGTTATATTTTGGCAAATACCCTAGCTACATTTTTCTCATGTTTTGAGACTTTGTGTGAAACTGAATTTAAAAATAATGCTCTAATTAATCTGCCAAAGGAAATTTCAAGGCAGCACAGCATTCAATCAATGACACAGTATTGTGATGGCTTCTAGTTAAATTTACTATGAGAATTGGGGGCACAAAACAGAGCTAAAGAATTTTTTAAATGTGAAGTTTAGCCAGAAAAGTACATATAAAGCAGGGACAAAGGAAAATGTGCTAATGTGCTTGGTGAAAAGATTAAAGCCCCTAAGGAAATGCTAGGGAGAGAGAGAGAGAGAGAGAGAGAGAGAGAGAGAGAGAGAGAGAGAGAGAGAGAGAGAGAGATATGCCTTGAGGGCCTCTCAGAAATTTATAAAACTGTATTCACTATAGGCTCCAGGTTACAGAAGAGAAAATCTCTTTGAGAAGAGACCTTGGGGGCTGTCTGCTCACATGGGGTGTGGGAGTAGAAGGTTGTTTCACCATGCTGAGCTGTGCTAGCACTCAGAGGCCATTGCAGCCACCATTTCAAGGGTCCTGATATGCATAAGCTGACAACAGAACTTGTGATGCTGGTTCTGCAGAAATGCAGGATGCTGGAGTTAAGAGGCCATGAAGGCTTCCAACAAGACTTTGAGGTGAGTCTGAGAAGCCAGGTAAAGTATTGCAGGGCCAGAGTCTTTGTAGGCTGGCCCTGAGAGGGTGATGCATGAAGTTGTGAAGGTAAAGACAAAGCTAAAATGGAGACCCCAGGAATTAAGAGATGCCAGTAACATGGACTGTGGGATAAGAAAAGATGCAAACTACAGAAAAATCCAGCTAAAGTTGATGCCATGTGGATTACAACTGGCAAGACCAGAGGAGCAGAGATACCCAAGCACTTTGGAGACCACATGTCACAACTGTGTCTTACATGCTACATGGAGAGGTTAAGGAACTTGTTTGTCTCACTGGGTTTTGGTCTTGCTTTAGCCCTCTCCCTTCTGTCTATGCTCCTATTCCTCCATTTTGGAATGGGAATCTTTACTCTGTGCCACTATATATTAGATATATGCAACATTTTACATGGGCTCACAGTCAAGAGGTTTCCTTGAGTCTCATAGAATTCTCTCCAAAATATATCATATAATCAGGCCACAAATCAAATCTTACAAAATACAAAATAATTTTTAAATAATTCCAAACATCAGTTCATAATGGAATGGAATTAGAAATTAAGAGCAAGAAAAACTACAGAAATTATATAAATGAATGAAATTGAACAATATATTTTGATTGATGAGTGAGTCATCAAAGAAATCAGGAGAGAAATTTAAAAGTTCTTAGACTCAATAAAGTATATAGAAATACAAAATGTCAGAATTTGTGAGACACAGCAAAGAAAATTTGTAGCTATGAATGCCTACATTTACAAACACAGAAATATCCCAAATTTATAACATAATGATGAATCTAAAGACTTGCAGGGAAAATAATCAAGGACAAAACATAACAAAACCAGTAAAAGGAAAGAATAAGATACACAGGATTGATGAAGCAAAAGGTTTATTTCTTTTGAAATAAAAACAGAATTGACATACCCTTAGCCAAATTAACCAAAAGAAAGAGAGAAAAGATGCAAATTAATGAAATCAAAGACAAAAAGGAGGACATTATGACAGACTGAAATATGAAATATAATCAATGACTATTTTGAAAACAGATGTCATATTCCAACAAATTAGAAAATCTAAAGACATGGACAGATTTTTAGATGTACACAACTTCCCAAAATTGAAGTAATGTGGAGAATCTAAACAGACAAGCAATAGTACTGAAACAGAATGGAAAATCTCCCAACAACAACAACAAAAACAAGATCAAATGGAGTTAGGCTAAATTTTACAAGATTTTTAAGAAAAACTAATGTCAATGCTCCTCAGATTATTCCATGAAATAGAAAAGGGGGGGATTCTTTCAAATTCATTGTCTTTCACATTTATTCTATGAAGCCAGCATCACCCTGAGTCCAAGACTGGTGAAAGATACACCAAGGAAAGAAAATTACCAACCAATTCTTGATGAACACAGATGCAAAAATTCCTAATAAGATACTTGCAAACTAAAGTCAACATATCAAACACCATAATCAGGTTGGTTTCATTCCAGGAATGAGATTGTGGTTCAATATACACAAAATCATAAATATATCACATAAACAAAATGAAGGACAAAAACACATAATCAGAGGGATCCAAAATGGTGAGCTAGAGGGAGGCTGCATTCTGTGTTATTCCATGACCTGGGATTTAAGTAGTGGGAATACTGTTTCTCTGCAAGTTATTAGAAGACCCCCAACAGCTACTCCTGGGCAGAAATCATGGCCACAGTGCCCACACGTCAGCACAGGACTCCCTGCCCCTCACCCACACAGGACCTCTGGATGCCAAAGCAGGAACACCAGCATCAGCACCTGCCCAGGACTCCTGGCCACCCACCCATGCAGGAATCCTGGCTGCTGCTCCCACATAGGACACTTGGCTGCTGCCAATGCGCAGGACCTCTGGCCGCTATTCCCATGTGGACCCCATCTACCAACATGAGGCTCCTGCAGTTGCCTCCATCTTGGGACACTGCAACCACTGCCAGGTCCCACCAGACCTGACACCCCATTGCTAAAAAACAGCCATCTCCATCTTAGGACATGTTTGCCACCATCTTTAGTTGGGGCAACTACCAGCTTGGGACACAGGCCAGAGCTTAGAAGAAATATCACTGTCCCTATAGTCCCCAACTCCCCCTTTCCCTGGCAGCCGTAAACCCAGCACAGCTATATGTCCAGTCCATAGTTCTCAAAACCTGGCCCAGAACTACCCAATACAAAACAGTTCCCCACAACAGGTGCACAGACCCCAGAGCGCAGCCCACAAGATCTCTGGAGAGAAAAGTTCCTGATTGGGAAGTAGAAAGGAAGGTGGTGATTGACTAAATTTATTGACTAAATTAGACCAAGAATTGTGAGGTCTACAGGCAATATAAGAGATAAGACCAGAGTCCACAATACAAGTGGGCCCCAAAGGAGATACTTGAGGTGCAGTCTCACACCAGGGAACAGCAAGTGCTATACCACACCTCCAAGAGCTCCGCCCCTAAAGCCAACCCTCCCACCCTATAATCTCTACCGTCCTGAGGGTAGAGATACAGACAACCCCACTTATTGGATG